GAACGTAATCAAATTTTGAGTACAGCGTAGATCTATCAAAAATGTAACCGCTGACCTATCAATTTTGAAACTTTTGCGTCCATAGACTTTCCGGTGTTGGCACATGACTTGGTCATGTGCCAACACTGGTATGAGTTGATATTTGGGGACCTCCACAGCAAAAGGTAGCAATGTGACAATTCCGTAATATTATAAAAACTAAATTCCTATTGATCTAATCCTTCAAGAAATTGATTAAAATAAAAAATTTTTTTTTTGCACATTGCCACCTTTTGCTGCGGGGGGGGTCCCATTTATGACATTTTCTTAAGTTTTTTTTTCTTCTAAATTTTGAATGAACGATATTTTGATAACCATTTATTCAAAATCGATGAAATTGGACTATTTTAGTTCCAAGTTCATAGAATTGAAATAAATCAATTTTTTCATAATATTTAATATACAGTAGTTATTGAAATATTGCAGAAAAATGGTATAATGCTGCTATTAGGGATCAGGTGGTTATTCAAGTAGAATAGTAGAATCTAATGATGGCGTCACTTTTTTTTCGGCATGACTAAAGGGATATTCTATAGAATAGGTGAGCAATATAAGAAATAAGCTTCGCTAATGATTAGTAATCATTAATTTTTTAATATATTTAGTGGAGTTTGCCCACCTATTCTATAGAATAGAGATGGGGGAGTAATAAAATAAGTAATAATTACCCTTTACTTATTTTTACGTTATTGTTTATTACGATTAATTATTGTCACGGATGATCGTGAAATCGGATGATGTTGAAATTTAGTCTTCATTTAAATCCATAATATCTACTAAAATCCACACACCTTTTTTTTTCAAAAAGTTTATATCTTGAAAGAACTAGAATAATTAATAATATAAAAATAAAAATTTAATTTTTTGTCACATTCCCCTTTTGCTATGGGAGGCACCATATACTTTTTTATTAATAACTCTATCCCTAAACCCTAACACTTTAAAAAAATTAAAAATTTCATAATTAAATAGTTAAAATTTCAGCATCATCCGATTTCACGATCATCCACGACATTACGGTATTTATTACGATTCACAAATTCAATCTTATCAGTTATTGTTATATGATCATGTTCATTTTGCAAATCCACAGATTTTTATCATTACTAATTACGTAAAAAAAATTTGATAAAAAAATTTGGTTTAGTAATAATAAGTAATAATGCATATTGACAATTGCCCATCTCTACTATAGAACATTCACTAATAATGAACATTCACTAAAATAATAAAGAGTGAACCGGGAAATTTCAAGGTTTTTTTTTCATTTTCATTTGGATTATTAATCACTAGATTTATTATAAAATGAGATGATCGACTTTATTTTTTTAGTACTAGCACTGTAGGTTAGCAAACTCGGTCGGTCCAACGGCCGACCATGTGATCAAAAATACAGTTATTATCGTTTTTTATAACGGAATTGTATTATGTTGGAATATTTTTTAGAAAAAAATTACTTAATTTACACGTGTGTTTGTACACAGGTACGTATTAATTTTTAAATTTATATAATCGAAATTAAAACAATTTTTATACGTAAAAATAAAATCCGATTAAGATTAGGGTTAGGGGGTATATAGTATAGACCAAATTTGGCAAGAAATTTTTTTTTATTAGAACCTCACCTCAAAGGTAATTTCTTAGGCAAAATTTTGAGATATTTATCATACGTGTATACGTATACGTATACACTCGTGTACAAATAGTAATTGCCTTTTTAAAAACTAATTTTGAATAAGCCGAAACTAAAACGATTTTTGAGTAATCAAAATAGCGATCAGGACTTTGAAACTAAATTTTCAGTTCAGCCTATCTTTTTTAAGGTCAGAAATAGCCAATTGAAAATTCCATTTATGAATTTCCAAATAACAATACTATTACATATATGTACCTTTTACAGACGATGATTAAAATTTCGTTTAAGACAAAGAAAACCTATTTATAGATTTATATAATTTCAATTATAATGTTTAGAAATATAGATTTTTCGTAAAATTTCGTACGTATGGATCAAACGGTTAACGGAGCAAATTGAGTTCACATTATACTTTCTACTAATTAGGCAAATTACACATTGATGTTTGGTCCAACGTACTGTTGAGTGACAAAAGCGAGAAAACAATAACAATGTAAAACCCGGCATAATATGAAATATGTGCATATGTACATACAGTACGCACGTATGTACCTGATAACATAGATTGACAAATCATATTAGAATATCTGGTGTGTAATGTAGCATTTTCGTAATAAATATTCTTGATGTAGATTATACCACCTTAACACAAGGTTAATTTTATTTTGATGCTAACATCTAGGGGCGCGTGTGGCGTTCTATAAGGTTTATTTTTATTTTTATTTTTTTTTTTTAACCTACCAGGGGAACGCCGGATGGCGTACTGGCTTATTTTTAAATTTCCACTTTTCTTAGAGAAGTTAATTTCTTATCATCAGTCATGAGGTCTTACATAGAACATCTATTGATACGTATATCTATCACATTTCTATATATATATATTAAATAATATATAAAATAGGTATATAGATATAGATATATAGTTTTTTTTTAATCTTTATTAAGTTAATAGGTTTTATAAACACCTCGTACGTAACATACTGTATTAACTTTTCTAAATAACTGATAAGCTATTAACTATTAACTTTAATAATTTTAATACGTCGATATATAATTTATGTATTTTTTAAGATTGACATGAAGATTAAGGGGTTGATACATTTAATGCAGTAATGCACTGATGCTGTTTTATTGAATAGCCAATCATCAACTTTAAAACTTCTTTTCATTATCTAATTACACGTAACAAACATCTATTTATTATTATTACCAAAAAAGGTATATGTACAAGAAAGAACGCACCTAATAAGAGATAAGGTAGTACACCTTTAAAAAGTCATTGGATTGGTATCGTGTGTCGTTTATTCAGTGTTTATTTTATTTTTTTCTATTTACGGATTTCTTCTTAAATTCTCCATCCCACTTCCTCCCGCTACCTCGCGGGTTGGTTTACACTATTCATTTTCTTATGCATTTAGTCATTTTCTAACGCATTCACGACGACTACGTATCTTATCTATGTGTTCCTAAAATAGTCGGTTAAATTCTTAATATTCATTTTGATTGCATATCAATATAACTTTATTTGATATTTTTATGCGAAATCTTTGGTGATTTATCGGTCTGAGGCCTTTATAAAAAAAAATCAACTAGGTTAAATAATTATTCATCTCTTGAGTTATTATTACATATTCTGGATTATTTTCTTGGATTATATAAAATATTAAAATGCCGACTTCAAACTCTGCTTTATTAACTTCCCAATCTTCTCTTACCACTACAACTAACGATATTCAAAATAAATTAAACACTGTTAATCCTCTTTCTTCTGATCCTTCAAAGCTCAGTTCGTCTCTTGGTTTAAACCATAAAGACAATTTATTAAATACATCTCCATCTGTTCATGAAATTCCTAGTCTTACCCCTCCTTTAACTCCTCCTCATACTTATATGAACTCTACTACAAAATCTTTAAATAATTATTTTGATGACACTTTGCTTTCTTCTAATGTTCATTCAAATTCTTTGTTAAATTCTAAAGTCCATATAAATTCTTCAACTATTAATTCAAATTTGACAACTCCCATAAACTCTTCTTTATCTAATGATTTGAAAAATAATGATAAAGAAGAAATATGTATATTCACTCAAGTATCTACTACAATAGCATCAGTTCAAAGTTCACCTTCTTCTTCTACTACAGTAGTTTCATTTCAAAATTCTCCTCCATTAAAATCTTTTAAAAGAATTCCTTCTTTCTCTTCTTTTTCTCCAATTCCATCTATTAAATTTCCTTTTTCTTCCGATCAAAATATTTCTAATTCTTCTCATTTGGAAATTGATACATATTCTGAATCATCTAATAGTTCTCAATTAAAAAATCAAAATTCTAATCCATTAAATTCTATGTTATTTGATGGAATTTTGGTTACTGATTATGCTTCGGAAAATCCTAAACGTAATAAAGAATTTCACTGTATATTTAAGAGTATTCCAGATGACGAATATCTTTTAAATGGTAAATAAATTGTTTTAAGATTATTATATATATTAGATTAAAATTATTTTTTTTAATTATTAATTAATTAAAATTATGTATTTATTAGTTAATTATTTAAATATTAATTAATTGTTATTTTTATTGCGTGTATTTTATTATTTAATTTTAATTATAGCTTATATTAATTTATTATTATGTTATTATTATCATTTATTAATAATTATTTAATCTGTTAATTCTTTTATTTGTTTTTATTTTATTTGTAAATCTTATAATTATTATTATTTTTTTTTAATTCTATTATTATCAAGTTTATTATTATGATTCTAATCAATTATATATATATATATATCATATTTAGATTTTGGGTGCGCATTACAAAAAGATATTCTATTGCAAGGAAGAATTTATGTTTCTCTAAATCATATTTGCTTTCATGCAAACATTTTGGGTTGGGTTAAAGATGTAAATTTCCAACTTTATAATTATTTTCGTCTTATACTTTTTATTATTATTATTAATTCCGGTTTATTATTTTAAAAAAGGTTATAATGCCGTTCTCTGACATCGTAAGCATTGAGAAAAGGACTACTGCTTTTGTGATTCCAAATGCAATTTTGATCACTACTGTTAAATCAAAGGTTTGTTATCCATTTTGATATTCATTTATTAAGATTTTTTTTTTTTTTCATTCTAACTTATTATTATTATTATTATTATTATTATTATTTAAATAGTACTTATTCGCTTCATTCATATTTCGTGATGGCGCATATGATCTATTCGAAAAATTATGGAAACGTTCAAACTCTGTCTATGGTCATAGACATAGTTCATCTGACGGTAGCTCTGATGGTACTGATGGTTCTCGACTTTGTGTAAATAACATTAGTTGCGATAGTAATTCTTATAATTCGGGCACTGAAACTGAATATACTAAAGATTCCGAGAACGAAAAACGTATGTCTTTTTTTTTTACTTTAAATTATTATTAAAATTTATATGTTATTACATATTTTTTAATTTAACTTTTAATTTATATTTCAAAAGCAAAACCTTCACGTAATGGAAGATTCATGTTACCACGATTAAATTTGATTTCAAGACAGTCATCTCGAAATTTTGATCAAGATGATAAGACCACTGTAGAGAATAATAATACTACTGTAGAGAATACAGAGAATACAAATACTATTCAATCTTCTCAAAAATTTTTTTGGAAGAATAAGAAAGATTTATCAGTAAATGATGTGAATAATGTTAGTGATTATGGAAATACTTCCGATTCTAATTCAAAATCGAAATTTCCTACTACCTTAAAAGTTTTACCTCCAAAATTGTCAAATCTTCCAAAATTATCAATTAATCAACAATCTCAACCTTCTAATGAAATTATACAATCTAAAGATACTAAATGTAAATGCCTTCAACAAAATGAACATTCTTCATCTATAATATTGGATACAAAGTTTACTGGTAATGTTGAAAAGATTTTTACAATCTTATTTGATAGTAATTTTATACCTGAATTTATAAGAAAACTTGAGAATAATAATGATGCGGAATTTGGTGATTGGTCAACGAATGATAATGGATTTATGATTAGACATTCTAGTTATACTAAAAGATTAGATTATGCTATTGGTATGTTCAACATTTCTTCTATAAAATATTTTTGATGTAATAAATTTTTAACTTTTTAATTATTATTAATAATATAGGTTTAAAAAGTACTAAATGTTATTTAAAAGATGAAATTTTATATAAAGACTTTAATGAGTTAGTACTCTTGTTTTTTTCTTAAAATTCATTTAATTTTCTTAAAATTTATTTTAATATTAATTTTTTTTTTTAACATTATTTTCCTTTAAATAGCTATGTAACAGTAATTACCACAACAAAAACACCTGATGTTCCGTCAGGAAATTCTTTTTGTGTAAAAACTAGAACTTGTTTAATGTGGGCTGGTGTGAATAAAACACGAGTTATTGTTACAGCGAACGTAGATTTTTCAAAGAGAACTATTTTAAAAGGTTGGTTTATAATTATAATTATAATTATAATTATAATTATAATTATATAATATTTATAATTTTTAATGATTTATTTATTTATAATTACTTTAAATCTAATTAAAATTTTATATTATAGTACCAATAGAAAAGGGTGCAATAGATGGTCAATGTAATTATTTCAAATTATTAGATAAAGCTCTTCGAAAACATGTACTCCCAAAATATACAGATTTTGTAGAACATCATCAACCTTTAAAAGATGATGAACATAAAATAAGTCAACAATCAAGGACACATTCACTTAGATCAAAACGTGGTTCAACTCATCAAAGAAATACATCTCGTAGACTTTCACAAATAAGTTTACAATTTCGAAAAATTCAAAATGAGGATGAAAATATTTGTTTATCACAATCAAATTTAATATCAATATTTTCTAAAATTTTAGAAATAATAACATTTTTAATTGGAAAATTAAGAATACCTAGTTTTGAAACATTATTAATATGGATAATATTAATTAGTCTTTGTATAAATATTTGGATTTGGATAAGTATGAGAGATATTAATTATAAAATTGAAAATATTGTGGTTCAAAGACAAAATTTTGATTCTGAATTTTATTATAAAAAGATTATAGTAAATAATAATAATGATATGTTTATACCATCTTCTTCATTTATTGATGTTGATGGTTTCGATAAAATTTTAGATTATATTTCTAAAAAAACTTAGATTACTCTCTTTATTAAACATAACATTAACATTATACATCTTTTTAATATTCATATATATATATAATTTTTTTTTTTTTTTTTAATGTAAAATTATTTATTTATTTTTTTTTTTTGTGTCAAGAAAAGAAAAAATTTCACCATTAAAAAAGATTTTTTTATAAACTATTTCTTCAATTGATTGATTATTCATAGCCACTCTTAAAAGAAATTTGTATCAATTGGACTTTATTCATCAATTTAGAAGCTAAATGTATATCGATATCCGAATGATTCTTTAAAGCAAATTAAGCATGTTATATTTTAATGGCAATTAACTTTAAACTGGTAGACCTGGTTCGCACGCGTGTGACGGCCAATAAAATTAATTTTCGTAAAAAAAAATCGCTTAATCAAATATGATTGGCTAGCTCTGGCAGCTATTTTTTTTATCTACCCCGCATGTCCAATAATTTAAATCTCGAGTAATTTTTTTTTGAAAAAGAATGGTACAGAACATCTATATTGTAGCGGCCAAAAGTACGTATTTGGTTTAATTAAGTTGTTACATTTTATGTTATCGAACAATAACCTTAAAAAGAGATAATTTAACAAAAAAAAAAGGAACGGCATTCGGAGCGTTTGGTGGTTCCTTAAAGAATTTCACAGGTAATTTTTTAATGAAAGTTATTCATAATAGTTCTACAGATCTTATAATAATAATAATATATATATATAAATCTCAATTATTAAAAGCCACCGAATTAGGAGCTTTCGCTGCATCAGCTGCAATATCAAGTCTTAAAAAAAAAATTCCAATAGATTCAGTATATTTTGGAAATGTTTTACAAACAGATAATACAGCACCATATCTAGCACGTCACGTAGGTTTAAGAGCTGGTCTACCAGTAGAAGTACCAGCTTTAACTATAAATCGATTATGTGGATCTGGTTTTCAAGCTGTAATTAATGCAGTTCAAGATATTCGATCAGGTGATTCAAACATAGTATTAACTGGTGGTACTGAAAATATGAGTAAATCATATTATACTTTATCTGCTGATCCAAGATGGGGAGTTAGATATGGTCAAGATTTAAAACTTGAAGATTCTTTAGCAGCTTGTTTAGTGGATCAATTTCCTACTAAAACTCCAATGGGTGTTACTGCAGAAAATTTAGCTAAAAAATTTAATATTACTCGTGAACAAGCTGATGAGTACGCTGAATTAAGTCAAAAACGTTGGGCAGATGGTACTAAATCTTATTCTTTAATTTCATAATTTTTTTTTTTTTTTGATAATTGAAAATTTTTTTATTTTAAAAATAACTTTTTGATTAATTTATAGCTGATGCTGCTGGACGTTTTTCTGATGAGATAATACCAATCGAAATTAAAACAAAAAAAGGCCCCACATTATTTTCTAAAGATGAACATCCACGTCCTCAAACAACTATTCAATCATTATCTAAACTTCAATCTGTATTTATTAAAGATACTGGTACAGTAACTGCGGGTAATGCATCAGGTATTAGTGATGGAGCAGGAGCAATTATTGTAGCTAGTGAAGATGCTGTAAATAAACATGGAATAGAACCTTTAGCACGTATTGTTAGTTACTCTGTAAGTGGAGTAGAACCTACTATTATGGGAATAGGACCTGTACCTGCAATTCAAGAAGCATTGAAAAGAGCTGATCTTAAACTTTCTGATATGGGATTGGTGGAAGTTAATGAAGCTTTTGCTCCTCAATATTTATCAGTAGAAAAAGAATTGGGTCTTGATCGTAATATTACTAACGTTAATGGTGGTATGTATATATATTTACGTTATTTTGTTGAGATTTGAGAAATATTATTAACTGGATGTTTCAAATTCATTTTTTTTTTTTTTTTAGGTGGTAAGTACTTAATATCGATACAAGGATTGCATTATTTTTGTAATGACTATATTAATATATTTTGTGATTTTTACCCTGTAGCCATTGCTCTTGGACATCCGTTAGCTGCGTCGGGATCACGTATTTTAGGACATTTAACTTATCAAATTCAAAAAAATAAAATAAAATATGCAATTGGATCCGCTTGTATCGGTGGTGGTCAAGGTAAATTTTTTATATGCTTTTTAATATTTTAAATTTATTGAAATTTATAATTATAACTTTTTTTTCTTTCAGGAATTTCCGTAATTCTTGAACGTGTTTGAAAAGTTAAGTCTTATAATTAATAGAAAATTAGAATATTGGAAATAGATAATATGGACTTATGTTCTATTTTTGTATCTTATTATTAAAACAATCTTGACTATGTTTAATATTTATTTTAATATAAGAATTTAACTCGATAAAATTATTTCTTTTAATTAAATATATTTTAGAATATATTTTAATTATTATTAAAAAAGTATTATATAAAAGAAGTATTATATAAAAGACTGAAATTAATTTTCTCCACATTATAATCACCACATAAATCTTTGAATCCTATCACTCTCGTTTTCCCAAATAAATCCGTTCCATAAAAATAAAGATATAGTTTTATAATTTATACTTGCGTAAACTAAAAATTCTAAAATCAATCTCTTCATATTAGGTTGCCTAATATTCAATCTATAAATGTAATATGGAATTATAAAATATCTGAATTCTAATAATGGTGATGGAATTAAAGTTATACAAGTTGCTATAACATAGATCATGATCCATATGAATGACTGCATTGATGCTATTTATACAAATAAGAAATGAAGTTATTGATATAAAGAAAAAAAATTGGTATATCATCTAAAAAAAAAAAATAAAGAATGAAATAATAATTACCCAATGAAAGCCATAAAATTAAACCTGAGATTATATAAACAGGAATTAAGACATATCTTATTATAATATGACGTCGATATATGTCCTTCCAAATATAAAATGTATAGTGACGGTTATCACTTAATAAGAATGGATGCTCATACCTATTCAAATTTTAATTTAATTTTAATTTAATTTTAATTTAATTTTAAGAAGAATAAGATTTCTATTATATTTAACTAGGAAAAATTAAAGAATATCAAATATTCAAAGTGATATAACTTACGTATAATTATGTATTAAAAATGTCATTATGATCACTACAGGAAGTAACGTTATGATAGTCCTAGATATAAAATATTAAAACTAAAAAAAAACATGAAATATATAGTGAAATTAAACATAAAATTTGAAAAGTTAATTTTCATACGTGGTAATCTGCCATGGCATGATAGAATGTACAACTTTTTTGATATGCTTAAATTTTAATATAACAGGTGCAGTGAAAAAAATAGTAAAAGATATAAAATAAAATAATTGTGGAAAATGTAAAACCGCAATATGGTTTGACTTATCTCCTAAATAAAATTGAAAAAAAAAAAAATTCAATTAAAATTATTTATTGATCGTACTTAAAAATGGGAGTTTTTTTTGCTTACCTAAAACAACACCTCCATTCCATATAAGAAAATAAATAAAACTTATTAAGATTAAAAGGTAATTATAAAATATTATTATTAATTCTACTATATTTCTCATTGCTATTAGTATGAGATTAAATATTTCTTGAATTGCGATCACTAAAAAAAAAAAAAAAGATCAAATAAACAATTATATACAACTATTGAAATAATAAATTGATCTTTACCAAATGGAATATCTTTTCCTTTGACAGGTCTTAAAATTCCATGAAAATGTTTAAATTTGTTGTGATCAGATAAAACATCTATAACTGATATACCAAACATAAAGCAAACCCATCCTATATTTGTCTGCCTAAATACAACACTAACACCCGAAACCTTTATAAAAAAAAATGTGTTTATTTGATTAGATCCCCAAAATAATAATATATTTATTAAATAAATGACATATGAACAAACCATAGCACTCATCCAAAACCATCGTTTCAAAGTCAATAGATAAGCGCATAAAACAAAAAATGTTGATCCAGAATCAGTATAATATAAAAAATTATAAAACCAATTTACAGGAAATAAAGATAAAATAAAAGTATTGAAGGCTCTTGTTCTTTTATTTTGATATGGATGTAGATAGGTTAGAATTTTCCAAATTACAACGTATAGTCCAATACTAAATAGAATATTCGTTGCACGAAGAAATTCGATCGAGCAAAAGTTTATCGAACGTACCAAGTAGTTTAACGGAGATATTATTAAATTACTTATTATATACCTAACAAAAAAAATCAAACAAAAATAAACTTTAATAAAAAAAAAAAAAATTTTGAATGAAAAATGATAATGATAAGAACCACCTACAATCCTGGTGGTGTTGTTAATTTTGGATCCCATTCAAAATAATTTCCTTCACAATATTTTTGAGCTTGTGAAATATGAAATATTTCATCCTTATGATTTATGAGTTAAAATTTATCAATTTCATAAAAGCCGTAAGACTAAATTAAAAAGACGAATTCTATTTGTTTTTTGATATATACCATGTATGGATTAGGAACAACCGTATTCACGAGATTGGCGACGAATTTGTTTAAAACAACAAAAGTAATAAATAATATTAGTTTCGTAGCCATTTTGTAGAAAAAGTTAATTATATTACCCAAA